GTTATTATGTCTATTGTTTGTTCCCCCATCCCCTCCAATCTCAGTGCCACCAAGCCATAAAGGGGCCAGTCATAGTCACCTCTTATCCCCAGGGCTTCACCTACCCCTGACTTACAGCAGGTGCTCACTAACTGGAAGGAAAATGGGGGAACAGCCCAGGACTTTGACGAACACCATCCTTACCTGTATTTGGAAAACCCCACACAAATTCACACAGGGCCAGTTCTGACTGAAGGAAACCTCCATGAGGCCAGACAACACAAACTCATTCTCTGACCACCACATGGGTCAGGAGTCCCAGGTACAGTGTGGGTCCCTGGGACAAAACAAAGGCATCCTCAAGGCTATATTCCATTCTAAAGGCTCTGGGTGAACCCACTGCCAGGCTCATCGGATTGTTGGCTGAATTCAGTTCTTTGCGTTCTAGGGCCTCAGCTGGGGACCTCTCTCAGCTCCTGAAGGCCACCTGCTCTCCTCAGCCTGCTGCCCTCCCTCTCCCATTTTCAAACCAGCAAGGGCAGGCGGAATCCTCCTCAGTCTTCGAATCTCTGATTTATCCTTTAGCCACATCACTTCCACCTTTACTCAAAGGACATGGTTTGGTTTTTTTGGTTTTTATTTTTTATTGTTGTTGTTAAAGATAGAGAAAGCACACAGCAGAGGGAGAGAGAGAGGGAGAAGCAAGCTCCCTGCTAAACAAGGAGCCCAACTCAGGACTCGATCCCAGGACCCCGAGATCATGACCTGTCGCTCAACAGACTGAGCCACCCAGGCGTCCTGCTAAAGAACGTCTTAAGGGCTCATCTGGTTAAACGGGGTCCACTCAGATAATCCAGGATAAGCTCCCTACTTTTTTTTTTTTCAAGATTTTTATTTATTTAGTTGACAGACAGAGATCACAAGTAGGCAGAGAGACAGGCAGAGAGAGAGGAGGAAGCAGGCTTCCCGCCGACCAGAGAGCCTGATAAGGGGCTCGATCCCAGGACTCTGGGATCATGACCTGAGCTGAAGGCAGAGGCTTTAACCCACTGAGCCACCCAGGCGCCCCAAGCTCCCTACTTTATAATTACATCTACAAAGTCTCTTTTGCCATGTAACCTCATATATTCACAGGTCCCAGGAACTGGGGTATGGACATCTTTGGGGCACCATGATTCTGCCTACCACACCTCTCCTGGGAGGAGAAGGATCCCAGAACCAGGATTTCTCGTGCAGGTCTCCTTGGTCCTGTAAACTCAGGATAGAGATTGTTCTCCTGTGTGAGCCTCAGTTTCTTCATCTGTGGAATAAGGACACATTAGTACTTACATCCAAGGGCAATGGTAAACAGCAACCGCATTTATTCATGCAAAGAGCCTGTCACACAGCACTGTCACTATTGTGGAAACACGGGCAGGGTCCGCAGAGAGAGGGAGGGCACTGACCCCAGGGTCTGGGATCTGGTCTTCAATTTAGTAGACTCAGAAACTGGATTTTCTGGTCACCCAGCAAGTCAAAATACTGGAGCCAGGAGTCTATCCTGGCCTCACTGGTTCCCACATCCTCTGTACACCAGTCGGTGCTGGCCTCTGAGAGGTCCAGCCTCCACAGGCTCCATCACTGCCCCCTCTTCAGTGGCAACCCAAGACAAGTATCCCTCTGAGTCATGGCCAGCAGGAGGGAAAGACTTAGATTCACAGACCATACTTTTTAGGGAATTACCCTCCGAAGTCTTGGGAAAGGAGAAGCTCTCTGATGTGTGCGAAGTGTGTGCACAGACCTTGTTATATTTTCCCTTCACAGCAGCTCAATGAGGTAGGAATGAATGATTGCCATTTCACAGATGAGGCTAACTGAGGCCCATAAATAAATTAGGTACTTGAGATGTTCTGGGCACTGTGCATGGTGCTTTATGTACATCACCTTCACAAGATGCCCCCCCAACCCCAGCTATTTTCCTTGTTTCTTGAAGGAGAAAATAGCTCAGAGAGGAGGAGAGATCTGCTCAAAGTTCAACATCTGGAAAAGGGCAGGGCCTGGAAACCCCTCTGTTTCCCATTGAACAAGGTTCCCCTGAGAGCAGAACATGCAGGTTCGTGACTGGAAGTACCTCGGGATGAGAGCTGTCTCTTGACTCTGAGCAGAGCCCTCCCTGCACGCCTGCCAGTGCCCGCAGTCAGCGGGGACCATCACCTGCTGAGTGGGTACCCGCTTCTGTCTGCTGCTTTCACCAGCCCTGGTGTGACCAGCCTTCGAAGAACAGTCAGGGTGGCAGGTGGAGGGCTGCCTAATCCCCTCCACAGCCAAAATCTTGGGTTCTGGTACAACTAAGGCTCCACAGAGAGCTTCTTTTTTCCCATCACTATGGCAACACGAACATCTCTATTCCTCTAGCACGTGAACAGAGCTGCTCCTCACACCACCGGCTGCCAAGCTCCCTGCAAAAGCCCTGCCATCTCTAAGACTCTGGATTCAATTCATTATCACCAATCCCTGCACTGAATTTGTCGTTTTCACTTAATTCCATCTGCCGAGTCACCGAGCCAGGCCCTGGGTTATTCACCAGAACATTCGGCTGCTGGTTGCCATGGACACCTCACAGCCTACGGCATCACCTGTTAATTCTCAGCAAGGCTGTCGCTGAGCATGGGTACCACTGCCCTTTATCCGGCACCCAAGGGGCATCAGAACTCCCCCAGACAAGAAGGGGCCCCGATGACGCATGAACAAAAGCAAAATCTCTAACGTCAACCACGGAAAAATCAAAAGCAGCCTAGAGCTCGTTACATCTGTCCAAAAACAGGTCGAGGTGGCAATTTATCAAATCAGTCAACAAGCATACTATTTGGTGTTCTGGCACATCTTGGGCAAACCCTTCATTCAGTCTCTTTGCTAACCACTTGAAGGTGTATTTTTATACTGAAAAGTGGTGAATGCATGACACAGATTGCCATCTCCCCTGGAAGACAAAAGGAGGGAGCCTCCAGCTGCAGAAGGCTGCAAGAATCAGCCCTGGGTGGGGGTTTGCAAGAGTCAGGTGGTACGGGCGAACCTGAGGTGGAGGGGAGCTGCAAGCGGAACCCAGGAACCCAGCCGCCACAGAGGGCACAAGGCGGGGGACACTTGGGATTTTCCAGGCAAAGGAGGTGACGGAGGCAACCGGGCTGCAGCCCCCCAGGTGGAGTGGGCAGGGCCATCAGCCTACGGCCCATTGCCCCCGATAACTAGCTCACGTCCTGTTTGTAGAGCCGGGCAGAGGGGACAGGGGATCGATACAGCACTCGACATCCACACGCTCCCTGCTCTTCAAACACCAGTGTCTGATGAAAGATGCTTCCTCACCAAGGTCACTCGGTGCAACTGCCTCACCAGCCCCCCAGGGGGACGTAGCTAGAGGGCTGATGCACCCCAAGGTCTGGGTGGGGGCCACTGTTCCTGACCCCAGGAAGCCTGTCTCCTGTCTGCCTTCATGCCCAGCTGAAGCCAGGCCCCCACCCACACATGCCCCTCACAGCCAGGAAGGTCAACTCCCCTCCCTTCCCCCTTATAGATGACTGAATGAATGGCAGGGCAGGGCAGGGGCGAGGGACCTGTGCCCACGCCCTTTTGTCTTGCTGTGGCGGAGGCTGACCTCCTGGGGTTTGGGAGGGGCCTTGAGGGCTTTATAAGGCAGGGCAGGAGCACCAGGAGGAGCAGAGACAGGAAGAGGCAGCAGGCTGGCTAGAGCATTGCCCATCTCCCAGCTCTGCAGGTGAGAGAACCCAGGAGGGGAGTGGAGAGGCGGGGAAGAGGGTTGATGGAACAATTCCCTGCATTAAGGTACCAGGCTCACGTCTCCGTGTCTCCAAGGCTGCCACCCTTCTCTTATCGCAGGGCCAGACTAGGTCTCAGCTCTAGAACCCACACTGGCGTTCCCATACCTTTCCCTTGAGCTGACTTGCTACTTCAACCTTCTTACTCCATGCTCCTCCCAATCCTGCAAGGTGAGAAAGACAAAGGCTCTTCTCCCATCTCTTGGGTGAAAAAACTGAGGTCGAGAAGTTGTGACTTGCTCAAAGTCACGCAAATTATTGGGAAGGGTTGGAATTGGAGCTCAGGGTTTCTGGATCCCATCTCAAGCTCTTTCCTAGACTAGGGCTGTTTGAAAGAACTTTCCATGATGATGGAGTCTGTACCTGCACCACCCAATATGGTAGCCACCAGCCACAGGTACACTGGAAAGGTGGCTAGCCTGGGAGATGAATTTTTTATTTTAATTAATTTAAATGTAAAGCGCTGTATCTGCCTATTAGCTACCACATTGGACAATACACGTGGCCAGCATGGGCCAGTGTAGCTCTGGATCGACTGATTTTTTAACCTTGTTTTTTTTTTTTAAGGTTTTATTTTATTTATTTGACAGAGAGAGATCACAAGCGGGCAAAGAAGCAGCAGAGGGGGAGGGGAAACAGGCTCCCTGCTGAGCAGAGAGCCCCATGCGGGGCTCAATCCCAGGACCCTGAGGTCATAACCTGAGCTGAAGGCAGAGTCCTAACCCACTGAGCCACTCAGGCGCCCCTCAACCTTGTTTCTTTAGCACCTAGAACACTTTCTCTTCCAAGGGAAATCTAACAGAGAACCCCACTATGAAAAACAGATAAAAGTCTTATTTTATTACTATTAATGTGTTCCTAGAAGGTAAAGCCAATCAGAATAATGAGACTGAAAGAACGCAAATGCTGAGAATAGAATTTTATATTTGAATTTTAGATTCATTTGAGTATCAGTTTATTTCTGTATTATGGTTTCCCCAAACTCAGGTCACCCTGATACACAGGAGCAAACGGTAACAGCTTAATTTTTAACTGCTTCATTACAATCACAGGATAGCCCTCAGCTAAGCAAAAATGGTGGGAGAAGCTTCCCTCCACGGGCGGCGCAAAAATGGTGAGACCCGACCCCACACTGAATACACTGGGGGGGTCTCCACTGAGATACCAGGTCGTCAGCAATGTGCCCTTGATATGACTATTTAAAAGCTCACTTGAAACTACAAGAGGGAAACAGCTACAGAGCTGCTCACATAGCCTCAAATTCTGCAGAAGTTTGGAAACCATTGCTCTAGGTTGTAAATTCCTCCGAGAGAAGTCACTGCTGTAATGAAGGTAGGTAATGAGGAAAGGGGGCAAGGCTTGGGAGCTGGGGGAGTTGGCAGGAACTGGAGAAGCAAGCTGAGGGACAGTCCACAACCCCACACAGCGTGGTACCTGCCCGCAGGGAGGGATCTAGAGTCCATCTGGTCCAGGCCTGTGCCTCTGGGTGCCTCGATGGCCCCATCTTGCAGCTCTGCCCCTCTTTCCTTTGCAGACAAGATGCAGCGACTGTGTGTGTGCGTGCTGATCCTGGCGCTGGCTCTGGCCACCTTCTCTGAAGCTGCTTGGAAGCCTGGCTCCCGGCAGCAGGACGCACCCTCAGGTCCAGGGGCAAATAGGGGCCTGGAGCCACACTGGCTGGACCGGCTGGGTGCAGCCCCTCACCAGCGAAGGCAGCTGGGGCTCCAAGGTCCTCCACAGCTGGTGGCAGGTAGGAACTGTGACAGCCGTCCCTGCTCGCTTCGCCCAGCCAGGGCTGTCCCTGGCCTTGGTTTCCAGCAGCTAGACGTCCTTCCCACATCCTCACATTCCCCCACCCCCGCTCTGACCCTCAGACCTGTCCAAGAAGCAGGGACCGTGGGTGGAGGAAGAAGAAGCAGCATACGGATGGATGGACTTCGGCCGCCGCAGCGCTGAGGAAGGGGACCAGCATCCCTAGAACGGAGCTTCAAAGCCCAGACATCGCCCAGCCCACCCCAGCCCAGCCCCATGAAAAACCACTCAAAATAAACTAGCTTCCAATGGATCACATTGTGTCAAGTGTGGCGCAGGAGAGGGGAGTTGGTAGGGTAGGGTTGAGGCAGCGGGAAAAACTGAGCACTCCCCTGGGGGCAGGGACCATGACCTGTTCTTCTGAGTGTCCCCAGACCTTAACATTGACCCCGAACCTACTCATGCAGGTGGAAAATGGTGGTGGGGTCGCGACCAGAGTCAGCTTTCTAAAAGACAGATCAAATTGTGCCACTCCAGGCTTTAACCCTCCAATGCTCCCTGTCACACTTAAGAGAAGACCTAAACTTGCCAAAGCCCTAAGCCAGCCTGCACCACCTCACGGCAGGTTCCCTGTTCCTTCCTCCTCTCTCCCTTTCTCCTTGCACAAATGCACCATGCTGGGTCCTGCTCAGAACATCTGTCCTCGCCATTCCCTGTGCCCCGAAGGCTTTTCCCAGGCACCCACATGGCTGGCTGCCCTTTTTCTCTTTGGGGTCTTGGCTGAAATGCCTCTTCCTGAAAGGCCCACCTGTTCTGCTCCTCCTGCCTCATACACAGCGCCTGGTGTCCTCTAACGGCCCCACAGTCCCTAAGGTTGCTCTCCAGAGCACACTTCACACCCCGTCATTGTCTTGTCAGCTAGTTTATTGTCTGCCTCCCCAGGTAGCAGGGCAAGTCTGTAAGAGTGGGGACCACACGTCCCTCTTCTCTGCTGTATCCCTGGTTCCAAGAACAGGAGGTATCCCATGGCGCCAGGATCAGCACGCACACACACAGTCGCTGCATCTTGTCTGCAAAGGAAAGAGGGGCAGAGCTGCAAGATGGGGCCATCGAGGCACCCAGAGGCACAGGCCTGGACCAGATGGACTCTAGATCCCATAACTCATCAGATGGGCGCGTGAGTGGCTAGCAGAGGCACTGTCAATGCTACACCCACATTCCCTCGTAGTTCTCTGCCTGTCAGCAGCATCCTTCCCCAAGCAGGTGCCACTGCTCCCCCTGAGGGCTTTCTGAAGGCTAAGCAGGCTGCAAATGCTCTGGAGTGATTGTCTCCCGAGGGAGCCCTGCGTTGGTGACAGTTGAGAGCGGGAGGATCAATACCCCGGCTTCCTCACCACTCGGGGAGGGTAACTCTGAGGTGTATCCAGCTCTGTCTCCCATAATTCCCCCACAGGACTGAGCCCCACTTACCCACAGCAGGAAGCTGCTCAAGGGCACCCTTCGTTGACCGCCCTCCCTTCCCTGTCTTGCACGCACACACTCCCACCAGTGGTCTTTGGGATCACCACACTCCAAATAAACTATTTGAACTCAAATCCTTATTTCCAAGTCTGCCTCTGGGCCGGGGGACTCCTCTGAAAACAGGTGGTCCTAGAAGGGTTGTAGAAAGCAACACTGTCATCTTGGGATTCTGGAATTTGATCCTTCCCTAGCCAGACCCTTTGCTGGCGTTAAGCAGGGTGCCGACCACCTCTGGAGTACTGTGGCAACCCCACTGCTAAGATTCTCATTGCTGGTGCATCGGGACAGGGTATAGGGGCCCTGATGTAGCTGATTGCTTCAGCATTCAAGACAGAAGAGTGATGATGATTATGGCTGTGGTGTCCATTGGCTACCGCTAATGATCAGAGATTTCTGAAGGAAGAAAATGTTGGGCTCAGGTCAGCCAACCATTAACTCAAGCCCAAGATCTGAATGTAAGAAGTCAGATAACAAAGGAAGCTGACATTGGAGCCCCAACAAGTCTCCCCATCAAAGTCCTAGAATGAAAGGCATGGGACCATGATAACCTTGCACGGAACATTTGAGAAAATGCCCTGAAGAACTTCAAACTCCCAGGTTTCCAGGAAACTTCTGGGCTGGAGGAATTGTCTCCACCTTGCCAGAGGAAAGCAGCTTTTCCGTCCCTGGAGACCATGCCCAGACCTCCTTGAGGCAGAGGTCTTGCGAAGTGATGTTTCTCACAATTGGCCCCGCCTCCCTTCAGGGCTTCCACACCAAACACTAGGGTCAAGTCTTAGGCTGTGCAGAAGCACTGTCCCAAACATGGCGGAAACGGAATTATTCACCCAAAATACTGCAGGTCCTGAAGAAGCCGGAAAACATGTCACAGAAGGAACCAGGAAGCGCACACAGGAGGGGATTTTAGAGGCTGACAGACCGAGGAGGCGGGCTGAGGACTGGGTAGGGAGAGTTTGTTGAACAGGAGTAGAGGACCGTCTCCCACGACTCAGGCTTTCAGCTCCTGGCAAGGACACGCGGAGCCCATCTTCACGCCTTGCTGGGCGTGACTCCCTGAAAGTCTGGAGCAAGTAAGGTGCCCAAGCTGCCCCAGCAGAGGACCGAGGAAAGAGCCAAAAGACGGGCAGTCACCCTGGAATGAATTGCCATGTCAGACAAGAGCATCCACCATGTGACTCCAGTCCCTGTAAGGGTCCAAAAACCAGTCCTTTTCTGGAGGACATAAGGAACGTGTTGGTGAGGACACGTAAGCATTGTTGAACAGCTCAGCGGAGCTTATCCTCTGCAGCCCCAGGCTGACGTAGGAGACGCTGCTATGGACCCAGGCTTCTTAGTATCAGCGGAGATGACAGGATTGCAGGGCAGAGGGGACCAAGTGGCAGCACTTAACCATCAGAGGCAAGGTGGACCCATTCACCAGACAGCCTTAACCCACAGGATTTGCAGCAACAGCTTAAACTATGGGGCTCCTAAACTGGAGACCTACGGGTGGCCAAGAGGAGCCATGTTGGTCTTGGGAAAGGAGAACAGGTCAAGAGCAAAGGAGCCTAAGCTGATGTCAGCTGCCCATATGGAAAACCACGATCCGCGCAGCCTGGTTTACAAGTCTGCATCAGTGCTTTGAAGTTGCCATTTATCGGTAAGTGTGTGCACTGGGCAGGAAGGCACACCCAGATCATTCCAAAGCTGTCATGCACAGGTCCTGAGCCGCCACAGCCGAGAACGCAAATGCCATCATGCTTCCACCCACATTAAAGAGACAGTGCAAGGAGGCACCTCGCCTGGCTGGCTCAGTCAGTAGAGCACATGGCTCTTGATCTCAGTGTCATGGGTTCAAGCCCCACATTGGGCTCCATGCTGGGCATGGAAGCAACATACATACATACAAAAAGTGTAATCGTTTAAAAATATCCATTCCTGGGGCGCCTGGGAGGTTCAGTGGGTTAAGCCACTGCCTTCGGCTCAGGTCATGATCTCGGGGTCCTGGGATCGAGCCCCACATCGGGCTCTCTGCTCGGCGGGGAGCCTGCTTCCTCCTCTCTCTCTCTCCCTGCCTCTCTGCCTACTTGTGATCTCTATCTGTCAAATAAATAAAATCTTAAAAAAAAAAAGTATCCATTCCTGCATGTGCTGACCATGGTCCACTAGAAGCATCAATATTCTTGGGGCGCCTGGGAGGCTCAGCCAGTGAAGCATCTGACCCTTGGTTTCAGCTGTCATCGGCCTCTGCACTCAGCAGGGAGTCTGCTTCTCTCTCTCTCCCTCTCTCTCAGCCCCTCCCCCTGCTCGCTCTCTCTCTCTCTCTCAAATAAATGAATCTTTAAAAAAATTTTTCTGCCAGCAGCCTTTTCCTTACCCACACACGGGGCACAGAGCATGACGTTAAGGCCCAAGGCTGCCAGTGACAAATGTCAGCTGGGAGATGCTTGCCCAGCTTCCTCACCCCTTGGGGCGGGATAACCCAGATGGCCTCCATCTCAGTGGGTCCCAAAATTTGCCATGCACGTGCATTCCCCAGCGTCCTTGTGACCGTGCAAAGTCTGACTCTATAGGTCTGGGGTGGGACCTGAGAATCTGCATTTCTGATAAGCTCCCAGGAGATGCCAATGACGCCTGTCCACAGGCCACACCCGACATGCAAAGGGTACACTTGTTCCCAGAGTTCCCCAGTAGGGTTAACCCTCAGTGCCTCGCATGTCCTTTAGCTTTCTTCCTTCTCCAATACCCACCCCCTCCATCCCTGCTCCCAGCCAGGAGTGCTTCCTGGATCAGCTTCCAAACAAACTACTTGTTTTCAAATGCTGTTGCAGGTCTGACTCCAGGTCCGAGGGACCTCCACCTAAGACAGTGGGCGACTCTTGCCCGTGCCTTACCCCTCACAGCCAGGGCACTAGGCCAGAATCCCTGGGGCAGAAAAATAGGAACGGGAGGCTGCCTGAGCACAGGCTCAGGACACCTGAGGGCTCGGGTTCACATCCCAGTTCTGAAGCCGGCTCTTAGACCCTTGGGAGGGTCACTTAATCTGCCTGGGCCTGTTTCATCCTCCGACACCATTTGTCAGATCACCCGCCACTCCACACGGGTTGTTGATGGGACTAGGTCATGTGTTTAACAAAAGTTCATTGTCTCGCCACAGCTTTGCCCCAGGAAAAGCTGCATGCGCGAGCATGCACCCACGAATGCACACACACACACACGCACACATGCTCCCAGAGAAAGATGCCAGAGTGCAGACCTGGTAGCACACAGGTCCTTTATTTCCTGCACCAGCAGGTATATGGGCTGACAAGCAACAGAAGAACAGAAGAGCAAGTAGCACAGCAGGGAGTAGGGTCAGACCGAGCGGGGTCCTGAGCCCCCGAGTCTAGCTGTTTAGGAATAAAGAGTAGAAAAGGGCAGTACATCTGGAATGAAGAAACGAGGAGGGGAGGGCAACAGGGAGGGGATGACTTGGGCGGGGAGCCTAGATACTCAAGGGCCACAGGCAGGGAGGCGGGGAGGAGGCCCCCAGTGGACAGAGGGGCCCCTCACCCTCACATACAGACACTCTGGGTTTCCAACAGTAGTAACGGACTGAGAGGAAAGGGCCAAGAATGGAGGAAGAGGGCCAGGTCCCTGAAAGTCAGCAAGGACTTGGAGGCCACCTTTACCTTGGGGATCAAGGTGCATGTTGTTAGCAGGGTCATCAGAACACCTTCCTGCACCAGGGCCCGAGCCTCACCCCCAGCCCAGCTCAGAGCTGGGTCTGGAAACTGGCCGGCCTCCCCCTGGGGTTCCACCGCCCCCTTGACTAGCACGTGATCCCAGGCCCAGCTGCAGAGTGCGGGCCAGGGTCCCCTATTTCAAGAAAGCCTGCAGGCTTGGGTCTTCAAGGCCCAGCCCAGGTTCGTCAGGACAGAAGGTGCGCCGCTGACACAGGAGGGTCCCATTTGGGAGGGTGGGAAGGAGGTTTCTGGGGCAGGTGGAACTTGGCCAGGCAGCTAGCTGAAGGATGGGCCTCAGGCTGTCTGTGAAGCCTCTGCTGGGACACAGCAAAGCCTGGAAGAGAAGGGGAGTGGAGGTTAACTGGGGGACCTGGATGGTGGGCAGGGGCTGAGGCCTTGTCAACTATATCAGAAAGACAGTCACGAATAACCACTGTGCAGCTGCCCACTGGCCGGCCGTGGAGGCCACTGTTCGATACACAAACTGCACAACTGTCCATGGCAACCCTGATGAAGCTGCCCATCAGTGACCAAAAGGCCATCAGAGTTGGGGCAGGCCACTTATGATGGTGAGGCTAGCAACAGGCTCTATATTTCACAGCTGACTGAGCAGGCTAGGCAAGCACTGGGACAGGGTCAGAGGGGAGAGATAGGCTAGGAGAATCATTTCAGCACAGCACTGATGAGAACAGGCTCAGATCCTCTCCAGCTGTGTGACCTCCAACAACTTACTTTAGCTCTGTTCTCACCTAACAAATGGGGAGGGCACCTCTACCTGCAGGCGTGACAATTAAAGGAAACGATGCATCTCTGTGACCTTCGTGAAGGCAGCTGACACTTAGCAGGTGTAGCTCTCCAAAACCTGGAGTTTCTAGCTGGGGAGAGGAGACCCTAGCCCATCTTCAGACTCACCCAGCAGACCGGTCCGACCATCCTTGCTGGCAGAGGCCTTTGTCCCAAGGGGCTGGGTGGCCCCAAAACACCCCCCTCTTTGTCCCTGGGAGGGTGGTTGGCCCTGTCCTCCTCTAGTCTCTGAAAGTCCAGGGTCAGTCAGTACCCAGGCTACTGCTCTGCGATAGCGCCCCCCACACTGTTTTGGACTGCTGTTGCCACTGCTGTAGGGTTGGGGAGCCTTGGGGACAGGGGCAGCAGAGACAGGAAGCTGAGGTGTCATGGAGGGCAGCAGTCCTGGTACTGACCCCCCAGCCCAACCCCCCAGGAGGAAAGCGGGTAGAGCTCTGGAATCTTAGGCAAATTCCACATAAATGAGCCCTGGGACCACAGTCCCCTGTTGTCTATGCAAATGATATGCAAAGTCCATGCAAATAAGCATGCTGGGTGGGGCCAGGTTGGAGTCAGTGAGCACTCCATGAGCTTGCGGGGTGGGGGTGGGGGGGCTTGAGGGGTTGGGGGGGAGTGACCCCTGTGGTAGCACTCTCACCTTCTCACCTTTCTGGAACATCTTCTGTCTCAGTTGCCACCTGTACCCCGAGTCCCAGCAGTCAGCCACCTGCTGGAGGACATACTTCATGCTTAGGTGAGAGGGGCCTAAGCCGCTGGCCTCCAGCATCGAGGTCACCACGCTGTCATCCAGCTCCAGCTCCACCTCCTCCCAGGCTTCAGCCTCCTCCAACACCAGCTCCGCCTCTTCTGTCAACCCGTCCACAGCAGGCACCCCCTCTTCTGTGGCCCCCAGCTCCTCTGAAGGCACAGAATCCTCGGTTGTCATTAACCTCTTCTCAGCCTCAAACCCCCGTTCCTGCTCTCGCGCCTCACTGCCGCACAGCTTGAACCTGGCCAGGGAGACAGGAAGGTCTTTGCATGCCCCTGAAAGCCTACCCCAGTCAGAGTCCCCGGTCCCCCATCATCCGCTCCTGCGGGACATCCCTGGCCACCAGGGCTGAGGAGCTCCCTGCTCTCTGTCCCAGTCTACCCCCCAAGACCCGACGGCTCCTCCCCACTTCTGTTGTAGGGTGGGGGGGCTGGGAACCAGCATCCAGGCTTCCAGGTAAGAAGGAGGGAGAAGGGTCACCCACCCTGCACAAGCCCCACAGGCCCCTGGTACCCCCCACCCTGTGCACACCCCAGAGGAGCAAGGATAATATTCCTCTCCCTGATTTAACCTTCGTGGCCCAGCCCACAGCTAACTGCCATAGGAAGAAATCCTTTTTTTTTTTAAGATTTTATTTATTTATTTGACAGAGATTACAAGTAGGCAGAGAGGCAGGTAGAGAGAGAGGGGGAAGCAGGCTCCCTGCAGAGCAGAGAGCCCGATGCGGGGCTCAATCCCAGGACCTGGGATCATGACCTGAGCTGAAGGCAGAGGCCTTAACACACTGAGCCACGCAGGCGCCCCAACAAATTCATTTTAATAAGGCTCAGACAGGTCAAGCAATTTGCCCAGGGACACACAGTCAATAAAGGAATGAAGCGGGGACTCAAGTCTCAGACGTCCCCAGCCCTACACCAGTGTTCATTCTCCCCTCAGTCCCTGGTGAGGTAAAGGGAAGGCTTCAGTCCCCACGTGGAACAGCCTAAGTCAGTTGGCCAACTATGGGCAAGTGGGAAGGAAGAGGGGGGCATCCCCTTCCCAGAACACCTCAGCCCAGCCAGCCCCAAGAGCCAGGCCTTCTCCAGGATGGCAGGGTCACAGGTGGTTGTCTGGCTGCTAAAAGTGAGGCTGGTGACGGGGGGCACTTGGCCAGCTTACCCCAGGTGTGATGTCTCCTCTGAGATTATCCCGTGACTCCTTCAACAGAGAAAAGGGCCATCACTGTCCCAAGACAACATGAGCTGAAACTGCAAAGTCCCTGGGGCCCCAGTGTGGAAAAATCCCTGGAGAAATGAAGGGCCCACACACATGGACAGAGAAAAGGCGGGGGAGAGGGGCCAGGCACCTAACGTGGGGAGCCAAGAGTGAAAGAAAGCAAAAGCAAACCCCCTCCACACTCTGGGAAGGTGAGTGTAGATCAGGCAGGGGCCTGGCGGGAGTGGGGAGGGAGGGGCCAGCAGCGCACCTTTCCATAAAAAACACAGAGTCTGAGATAATCTTCCTTATAGATATTCTGAGTTCCTTGTCCAGGGTCTCCTGGAAACCAGGAAGGGCCTCCTGCAGGGGAGAGCAGGGGATCCCCACAGAACCCCAGTCCCCACTTCCAGGACCAGAAAGGGATGAGGGATGGAAATCAGCCAGCGGGGGAGAGCACACAGAGGGCAGAAGGCGGAGGGGAGGGTTCTCACCAGGGGTACAGTGTATGTGTAGCGGGTGACAGGACCAGTGGACACGGGGGCTCACCGGCCGAGGGTCCTCACCTCCTCTTGGGCCTCATTCTGCATGCCCCCACACTCTGCGTACCTCCCCTGCAGGTCCTGCAGCTGGAAAGCCACCTGCAGGTTCTGCTGCAGACACACAGCCCAGGCTCCAGACCCACATGATGACATGAAGGATGCCCTTGAGCAGGTCCTTGGACTCTGCTCCACTCAGGCCCCATTCCATGTGACCTCTTGCTTCAGAAAGGGCTGAACAGCCAGGGCCCACACCAGACACCAAGAGTGTACAAAGGGACAGACCCAGAGCCTGTTCAAGTTGCTCGTCTTCCCCGGACAGCCAGCCAGCTGGCCAAGGGCCTTGGGTTCCCGGCTCTGGGCCAGGGGCTCTCAAAGGCCCAGGCAGGACCCAGGGGGAGCTTCACCTCATCCTGGAGCCTCATCTGGATTTCCTTCTCTAAAGCCAGCTGCCGCTGCAACTTCTCCATCTGGGCTCCATACTGGAAGGACCGAGACTAGTCGGCTCCACCCAAGACACACCAGCCCCACCTGAGGCCTCCCGACCCGCTCTGGCAAGTCCTCCCAGGCACACTGCCGAGTGTTTGGCAGCCCTTTCTGAAGCAAGAGGTCACATGGAATGGGGCCCCATCGAGCAGCAGAGCCGGGCGTTCTAGAACACCCCATGACCTTCCCTGGGCTTGGGTCCCTTCCCAGGGACAACCAGGGGGCAGAACAAGACACTCTCCGGTCTCCTCCAACTCTGACTCTGCGCACAGAGAGGCCTGGGGCCTGGCTGCTCTGTGAGCCCAGGGCAGGGAGGAGGGGGCTGGGGTTCCATGGGGCCAGGCAGGGAGGAGGGAGCCCGACACACAACCAGACCCACCGTCTGGCAGCAGCACCACAGCATCAGGACCTGGATCCGCAGCTGGGTGACCTCCCTCCACGGCTGGTCATGGGTCTCTGTCCTGAGCGCCAGCACCTCCGACAGGTCGGCCATCCGCACGCTGGCCTCGGGACCAGTCTGGCCCTCTGGAGGCCCTTGTCCACCCCACCCCTCAGCTCAGGCAGGGGACTCGGGGCTCACAGGACTCCATTTTCTCACTGGGTCTTCATCCCAATAAATGTCTGTTGACTGACATGGAGCAAGGCCCTGGGTGCGGGGCCTGAGCGACCCGATCCCAGCACATGCAGAACTCAAGTCTAGTGGGGATACTGATGAGCAAGGAAATGCCACCAGGGCCCACTCTGAGCTAGGGTGGAACGTGTGTAAAGGGCACGCTGGGGGTCACAACAGCGGCACCCGGGCTCGCCTTACGCAGTCTGTGCAGCTAAGACCTCTGCAGGGTGAGTGGGACTCGGCCAGGCCAAAAAGGGCAGACAAGGCCCAGAGAGGGTGTGGAGGGGCCCAGAAGCCCATCTCGAGACCCTGGGAGGGAGGGCTCGCCAGATCCCAGGGGCTGGGGTAGGAGGCCGAGGTTACTCTTTGGCCAATGGGAAGCTTGGGGTTTTAGGCAGAGGATGACATGGTCAGATTTGGTTTTAGAAAATTCATTTGGACTGTGTGCAGAAGGACCTGGAAAGACAGCAGTACAGGAGGGGAGATGGGTTAAGACTGGGCCTGGACTAGAGACAGGGGGGTGAGGAGGACGAAAGAGACTTGAGCCTTCCTTAGGAGGTGGAAGCAACCGAACTTGGGGACCAGCTCCTATGGGCCTGGCCATTGGGGTAGCTGGGGGACCCAGAGGCAAGGAAGGTCAGGCCTGCGGGAAGGGAGGCCGCGGGAGCTCAGCCCCTGCCATCTTGCACGTGTATCTCACAGCTCCACTTGAGCTTCTCGGGGACAAATGCTGCGCCTGCCTCATCTTCATAAACACAGGTACCCGCACTGGCCCCTGCCCCAGATCCGGTGCCCCGCCTGGTGTCTGGCAGCTCAGGGCTCCTTCTCTTCCTTGCTTCCAGGCCCCTCCTTCCCGTGTCCCAAATGACAAAAGGAAACAGGCTTAGAGGGGTCCCATGGCTTCTGCACAGCTCTTTACAGTGTGTGCAAAGAACATCCTCAGCTTTGCCTCTGGAGAGGTCTTCAGGGCTGAGGTAATTCCTCCTCTTTCTAAAGTTTCAGAGACATCAGGAACTTGACCAAGCTCCCACAGCTAGGAAGTGCCGGAGAGCTGGGACTCCAGTCTATGATCCCTGAGTTCTTCCTTCAGCTCCTTAGGACAGCCCTCCACCCCCAAGTTACAACCTCACGTACAAAACTGCTCCACAAAATCCAGGATGAGCACCTGCTCCTCCTCCTCAAGGGCATCGAGTTGAGAGGTCTGGAGGGAAAGGGGGGGGAGTCAACAGCCCCCCCAGAGGGTTTGCCCTCTGCCGCAGCCTCACCTCCTCTCTCAGGGGCTGGTTCTCCTCCTCCAGCCGCCTCAGCTTCTCCTACAGGGTTTCCAGCTGGGGGAAGTAGCGCAGCGACTCAACCTCCCACGCGGAAGTCCTAGGGGCCGAGAGCAAGGGGAGTCAGGGCCCAGGGCTGGGAGACCCAGGGCCCAGCACCCCCAGGGTCTGCCCCTCCACCCCCAGGCTCAGCGGGGTGGTCTCATTTAGCCCCAGCAACCCTGCTGGCAGGTGCACCATGTGTGTCTCTGTTTGCAGATAGGGAAACCGAGGCACAGAGAAGGGGCTGCCCCAGAGAAAAGGCAGGACACTCAAAACCCACGGGCTCCATAGGGATGATGGTGCTGCTGCTCTGCCTCTTCTTCCTCTGCCTCTGCCTCTTCCTCATCTTCCTCTTCGTCCTCCTCTTCCTCCTCATCAGAGTCAGAGTAGAGCTGGAGGAAATCATCTCGCAAGCACAGCTGGCGTCTGAGATGTAAACTCTGCCAGTGGGGGAGAGGACCCGTGTTGGAAAGCAGGCAGAGGCAGGCGCGGGTCCTGGCGCAACGGGGACGCGGGAAGGTCTGAGATGGCACCCCCCGTGCCCCTCCTCCCTGCCCAGCTACCTCCTCCCTGGCTGAGCCCAGCATGGCTTCCAGCTTGCTGTTCTCCTCCATCAGAGCTCGGTTCTGTTTCACCAGGGACTGGCCAAATGGGAGCCACCGTATTTAGGTCCCGCCCTCTCTACAGAGAGACCCACAACCATGGGGAATACTTTCTTGTTTTCTGGGATCTCCCAGACAGATGGGAGAAGCTAGGGAGTACCCAGGGGTCAAAGGGAAGCCAGCCCACTAAGGGAAACCTTTCCACACCCTAGTTTTCCAGGGTACTAGGAAAGAACCTGCCATCAACCCACTGTGGGGCCTGACTCCATGTCCCCTTATAGAAAAGATGGCTCTAAGAGCAATTCCAGCCTGGACCTCATAAGCGGGACCCCCAACTTGGCCCCCAGAAAAACAGTGAAGCAGGGAACAGACAGGACTCCTACCCCTCTGGGCAGATTTAAAAAGGAGGCCTGGCTAAGACTCAGGCTGGCCCCAGCGGGAAGGCAATACCCACGTCCTCTAGCAGATTCAACATCAACCTGACAGCTTCTTGGGTGATCTTGACTCATGGGGGCCGGTCAGGACACAGGGATGCAAAAGCAGGGGGTGCAGCTGTGTCAGGAAAAGGGGGGCATATCCCACCCCACATCCCACTGTTTCCTGACGGATCCCCAAATGCTCCCTCAAAAACAAGAGTCAGCAACAAGGGAGGAGAAGACTGAGCTCCCTTCCTGCCCCCAATATCCTCTCCACACCACACCACACCACCCCCCAGTACTCAGCACTCCCTTCCCAGGACCAGCTGGACTCTTGTTCTGGAGGGACCTGGGCAAGGTGAAGGATCCCAGTCTTCCAAGCTCAGGTAGAACTGCTTCTCGGCAGCCTGGGTCCCTGGCACCTAGGAGAATGCAGGCGGCTAGTGGAAGTACAGCCACAGACTGGCTCATTCCTCCTTACCCAGAGGGCAGCCTTGGCCGACTCACTGGAGCCTCCTGCGTCAGAAAACAGACACAGTCACCCGCCCTGCACCTGTTGCGTATGAAGAGAAGAAAGAAACTTTTCCAGCACTGCAGTAGGGGGGCCCTGAGCCTTTAGACCCAATCCAGGGATCTCCAGTCAGTCACCCGGGAGAAGCTACGAGGGGAAGAAACCTGAGGCTCCGCCCATCCCTAGGCTTGGGAAAGCACGGCTTTGACCCCCCGCAGCCAGAAGGTTGACAAAACCTCCCACTCCGCCCACCCACCTCCCCAGCGGGCGCCAGGCAGCGCCCTCCGGTAGCACCCACCCTTCTCCTGGCACTGCGGTAGCCTGGGGGGAGGGGCGCCCTGAGAGTGCGCAGATCTGCAGAGCAACTGGCGCGCAGAGCCCCTAGACCTGAACCCCGTCAACGATCTGCAGACGACAGAAGGGAGGAGGAGATAGAGAAGAGGCGACGGGACAGGCTCCGCAGACTGTGACGTCACAAATGGATAGAGCGATAAGACTGAATGCAGAAGGGCCCGGGCGCCTGGAACCGACGCGGCCCCACTCTCCACGGAAATGCCTGCGTCCCACCCGCTCTGGGGTTCCAAGGACCGGGTTTACCTTCCTCCAGATCCCGAATAAAGGCGGAGCGCCCGATGTAGGCTGCCGGCGTCTTCCAGATGCCCGGCGCCTTTCCAGTCCCCAGGCCAGTGGCCCGAGGACCAAAGGGTCCCTGGAATATGAAGCGGGCCCGTGGTGCGTCCGAGTTGCTGGGCACGTACTGGGCATTCCCCCGGGCGGCTGAGAATGCGGACGCGCGTGGGGTTTCGGCCCCTGATCCAGCCTTGGAGGTCAGGCGAGCTGGGGCTGGACGTCCCGAGACGGATGGGGATCCGGATCCTGCCGGCCGCGGGTGCCTGCGCAGAGGGCTCTGGAGTGAGATGCGCTAACGGCGGGGATGCGAGGGTGATTCCCGCCAGATCCCCCTATCTGAACCGTGTCTTGCGTACCGGGGCCCCGATCCCTTAGGACGCAACTTGAGTCCTCAACCGGCTGCAGCAGCCGGGCTTGGATAACCAGCGCCCGGAGTGGGCGCCCGCCGAGCGGTACAACGCGCGGGAGTGGGCGCCCGGGAGCAACCCGTGGGTCCGGGACTGGGGGTCGCGCGCAAGGGAAGCTCTTGGTGGCGAGGCAGCGCGCAAAAACCAGAATAAGGAGAAGAGTCGAGTGGCCATCCCAGCCGGTTCCATGGGCTCTGGTTACGAGTGCAGGGCTTCTCCTCTCCTCTCCACCTCCCGAGAATGGTTCTGCCCCAAGTCGCAGCTTCCCTGGAATTCGGGTATGGTGATTTCAAAGTCCCTAGCTGGACACACCCCCTCCCTCCACTCCCGCTGTGGTTGCCGGCTGCCCACCCCGATATGACCTGGGAGTTAGGGCAGTATTGTGCTTTCCCCATAGCCGGGAGATGAATCCAAACTCCAGTATGGTTTCCAGGCGCTGCCCAGTGTGGCGCGTCACACTGTGATCCCTGCGCTCACACCCCAGTGCTCCAGCCGCTGGACAGCCCTCTTTCTTATACCTTACTTCTTATTACCTTTGCTGGTGCTTTACCTCCAGCCCTCATTCGCTTTGCCCACCTCCTTCCACCCTGGCAGACACCTGTTCTTCCTGGAGAGTGCACTTAGAGGCTCTCCAAGTGACGACTCCTCGGACCTCGTCCCGCATCCCCCCAGAGCATCTCTTACCCAGTGTCAGGCAGTGCTCAGAGTGTGTCTGTCTCCAAGACCAGACCTGTGCCCCTACAGCGCAGGGATCGAGTCCCCTCAGAGTGTGCCCCAGGAGGGGGTACCAACGAGAGTCACCCGAAGTCCTGAATGAGTTGGATGGGGCGGCAGAGGAGTCCGGTGGCCATTTCTGTCCCTTTAGACTGGAAGAATCTGCTGGCCAGAAAGAGATGGCCGTGGAACTAATTCTTTTAAAGCCTTAGAATTGGTGCACCTGGGTGGCTCAGTGGGTTAAGGCCTCTGCCTTTGACTCAGGTCATTATCCCAGCCTCCTGGGATTGAGCCCCATATAGGGCTCTGCTCATCGGGGAGCCTGCTTCCCCCTCTCTCTATCTGCCTGCCTCTCTGCCTACTTGTGATCTCTGTCTGTCAAATAAATAAATAAAATCTTTTTTAAAAAAAGAAGAACCTTAGAATCATTCTTGGTGCCCCAATTTTCTTCCCTTCGATAACCAATCACCTGTCCCGCTTGATTTACCGCCTAAATATTTCTCAATATTTGTGCAGTCTCCTCTTCAGTCCTTCTACTGTTCAGGCTTCATTTTCCCTTCTAGATTTTTGTGATAACCCCCCAGCCACCTCCACATGAATCCACCTTGAAGGCATTCCAGGAACCCCTTCCCCACAGCCACCAAGCTAAGCCTGAACCTAGAACCGGGGCTGCTGCCCAAGGACTGTAGCTGGGACAGAGACTTCTAGTGCTGACAATGTGCCTTGGGAGTCGGGCATCTGTGACACAGCATGGAACAAGAGACACAACCCAGGAATGAGAATGAGAATGCCCTGTCCACCAGCTTTCCCATGCAGAAGCATTGTGATAAGAATGTTTCCTTCCAGGGCGCCTAGGTGACTCAGTGGGTTGGGCCTCTGCCTTCAGCTCAAGTCATGATCTCTGGGTCTTGGGATCAAGCCCCATATCCGGCTCTTTGTTTGGCAGGGAGCCTGATTCCCCCCCACCTCTCTCTGCCTGCCTCTCTGCCTACTTGTGATCTCTGTCAAATAAATAAATAAAATCTTTAATTAAAAAAAAAGGTTGGGGCGCCTGGGTGGCTCAGTGGGTTAAGCCGCTGCCTTCGGCTCGGGTCATATCTCAGGGTCCTGGGATCGAGTCCCGCGTCGGGCTCTCTGCTCAGCAGGGAGCCTGCTTCCCTCTCTCTCTCTCTCTGCCTGCCTCTCTGTCTGCTTGTGATCTCTCTCTGTCAAATAAATAAAAATTTAAAAAAATGTTTCCTTCCATCTGGGTCCATTCATTCATTTGACAAATATTTATTGAGTCCCTAATACCTCAGGCACTATACTAGACTCTCAGACTAGACTCTCAGCAAAGAGTAAGAGAAACTAGATCCCTGTTCTCCTGGAGTTCAGGATCTAGAAAGGGAAGCAAATAACTGAGAAAACAATTAAGACAATTACAGAACATGGTGAATTTTTTTTCGAAACAAATAAGGAACTATGAGAAAAATGGAAAGTACCCATCTGACAGGGTGGTCTGGGTGAGAGGGGGAGGAGAAATCATTAATGGCTTCCTAGTTTGCATCTCAGGCCACACTCCCAGCCTTCCCAGCCAGCTCATACCTGTCGCCCTGAAATGGCAGCCTCTCCCCTCAGGAGCCAGTGTTTATCATTCCTGATTGCTGAGTGAACCCTGGTGCCTGTTCACCTCCCTCGCACCAGATCCTCTGCACCCCCAACAGTCCCCCAGGGAATTCTCTGCCTGTTTATCAGAGGGGCAGTCTTCATTAGTTATGTTATTTCTAAAATATTGCCTCCGGGGGTGCCTGCGTGGCTCAGTTGTTAGGGATCTGCCTTTGGCTTGGGTCATGATCCCAGGGTCCCAGGGTTGAGTCCCACGTTGGGAGTCCCTGCTCAGCGGGAAGCCTGCTTCTCCGTCTCTCACTTCCCCTGCTTGTGTTCCCTCTCTTGCTGTATCTCTCTGTCAAATTAATAAAAATCTTTTAAAAATATATATATTGGGGGCCCCTGGGTGGCTCAGTGAGTTAAAGCCTCTGCCTTCGGCTCAGGTCATGATCTCAGGGTCCTGGGATCGAGCCCAGCATCAGGCTCTCTGCTCATCAGGGAGCCTGCTTCCCACTCTCTCTCTGCCTGCCTCTCTGCCTACTTGTGATCTCTCTCTATCAAATAAATAAATAAAATCTTTTTAAAAAATAAAAATAAAAAAATAAAATAAAATCACAGGGGCTCCTGGGTGGCTCAGTTGGTGGAACATCCTCTTGGTTTCAGTTTGGGTGATGATCTCAGGCTCCTGGGATCTAGCCCCAGGTCAGGCTCTGTACTCAGCAAGGAGTCTGCTTGGGATTCTCTCTCTCCCTCTTCCCTCTTCCCCCCTGCTCTGAAATAAATAAATAAATAAATCTTCAAAATAAAATAAAAATTAAAGTGTCCAATCGGTGTATTCACCGAGTTGTGCAACCAACACCAGTATCTAATTTCTTAACATTTAATATTTTTTATCACCTGCCGCTACAAAACTCCCCAGAACAGGACATACAATAGGGGCCCATTCCACTCCTGCTGAATGGATGTTTGCTGAATTGAGTTATTCCTGCTCATGAGAAAGCAGCGCGGAGGACCGTGGGAAGTTTAGGGTGATGAAGAAGAAAGTGGCGCGGAGAAGACAGAATTGAAGGGGACCCTCTAAGTCCCGGCACAGGACAAAGCAACTCTAGACACAGCCACCAGGGGGCAGTGTCAGTCCACATACCCCTACCTTCTTCCAGCCAGCCCTCACCCATGGGATCAGTGACCCCACAGGAGAGGCATACGGATGGCGACTTCATTTGATAGATGGAGAAGGCAACGCTCAGACCCCTGGTCACCCCACAAATGAACATTTTGTCCTGGCTGATAAGCCCACAGCTGCCCAGGAGACTTCGCGGGTCCCTCTCCAGTGGTGTCCTTCCGCCTTGTTCTCCTCCCCACTCTGCTGCTGCTCTAACCGGAGAGGTCGGCAGAACAGAAACCCTAGACCTCTTCCTTCCCTCCCAGTACGCACCCTCTGACCCCTGCTGAACCAGAGAGAGGACAGGAAGGGGCTTGTGACCCACCACAGCCATGAACTTGAGGCCAAGCACAGTCACTCTGACCCCCGCCTCGGGGCACCCCCTGCTCAGGCCACCTCACCTGCCCTGATCCTGGAAAATGAACCTAGGACCGGCTACCCCATGGCAAGAGCCCCTGAGGGTCAGGTCAGTGCCAGGGATCAGGGCGGGGCCTGACACCAGGACCACTTTCTGCATCAGACTAGGTGGGAGTGCCTTGAGCAGGAGAGGGGAGCTGCTTCACCAGCCCCACTCCTGCTCCTCTCTTACAGGGCTCCCTCCCAGAACCCCTCCTCCCTCTGCAGCACCTCTTCCCCACCACTGCCCAGGCCCCTCCACAGCCTCAGCCCGCCCCCCCTTCCTTGATTCCTCCTCCCCAGACCCTGGTCAGACTCCTGGGCACTGCACACTCAGAGCTTCTCCCCCCAGACATGGGCTGAGGAAGTGAGGATGCTGGGGGTCTGGGCCCCTGGGCCTGGTGCCTTCTGGGTGTATAGTTCCCCTTCTGGGTGTATAGTTCCCCTGCTGGTCAGGACAAGGGAAGGAAAGAAGACAGAGGGGAGGTACCTGGGGTGACAGTGGGGGGCGGGCTCTAGCAGGGATGGCTAGGCTCTTGACCTGGAGAAACATCCAGGAACATCCATTACCCACACGGCCTGCAGGCTCACTTCTTCTCCTGCTAAGGCTGGCCTCCTCCTCCGGGAAGCCCTCCTGGTTTCCTCCTGGCATCTTCCTGCCTCTCACTGTTCATAGTGTTAAGAGTCTTGTTACTTATAAGGTGGTTATTTAACCAGGATAGCAGATCTGTTTGCTCACTTCTGTATCCTTAGGGCTTTAATTAGAGTAAGCACTTAGTATCTGTTGAATGAACACACGATGGATTGATGGATTCTCTGGGTGAGTCTGGTTGTGGGTGGGGCGGGGCGGGGAGTGGCCCCTAAAAGACTCCAGAGAGGCTTTCCCAGTCAGGGCGAGACTCTAGGGCTCTCGACCCTGGACAGTGCTCCACACTCCCCAACACAGGTGAGCAC